GTACTATTTACCCCCCAGAATATACTGTGACACCCATGGCATCACTCATACGTTGCTATTACTGCAATGTGTTCTGCATGCGTACCCTCTAATTTAAAGCTCTTTTTACGTAAAAATATACTAGTGAATAGTGACAGTGATCTACTTAGAGAAAATTAAATACTGGTAATAATATACTATATCACGATATCTACTTTATTGATGCAGTTGATTAACGAGTTATAATTGCATTTTGGCAAATTTATTGTACACATATTTAAATTTGTTATAAATATGATATGATATTGTAGTTAACTAAAATACACTTTTGTTATTCTCCAATAATTCAATTATTTTTTAATAAATGCTTCACAACTTTTTCAAAGTCACTGCTTAATGCACATTATATAATACATCGAAGCACGCGCTTTTTCTTCGCTAACCCTAACTACACACACACATCTTGTCACACATACAGACATTGTACTACTTGTTTCTGTAGTTGTGTTCGCCACAACCATGACTCGTAGCATTTTTGTTGCAATATCCAGGGTGTAGCATTCTTATTTTTTAATTACGATCATTGTTTCAATTAATGAATTGAGAGAAAAACTCTACTATAGATTTCTGTGACAATGATTTTGTAACAAGATGACTTATTTACTGATCCTAACGAAATTTCCGAAAATCTCTTCATATTTTTAAAATTAACAAAATTTATATTTATTTTTTTTTTATTATAAAAACTGATTGTGTAATTACGTAAATGTTTAAACTAATTATAGCTCAACATAAATGTAATTTGACTGTGTTGATTGAATCAGGCTCTATGTTTTTCTAATAATAAATAAATAAATAAATAAAATTACCGAAGTGTCTAATTTGATAAAAAATATATAAGTGGGCATTGTGAAATTTAAAATAACCACGAAAAATATTGTAATCTTTGTAATCTTGTTAGATTTACATCAATCAATCTTCGGGATATATTTTTTTAGATAACAATTCTTGTTAGCATTTAGAGACATCCCTTCATTCCAATACGTCTATATCTATACCAATGTAATAAAACAGAAGAGTTTGTTTGTCCGAACACTTAATCTCTAGATTTATAGGACGGATTTGAAAAATTCTTTTTATATTTGATATTTCGATTGCTTGGGTACCTCTATCCCATTCGTGTTTCTACCGTGAAGCAGTTGTGTTTGCATGGCTGTGTTTCGGTTTGAAGGGTGGGATATGGCGTGAATTTACAGAATACATAAGAATAACACCTGAGTCCTCAAGAATGGCAACGCATGGGGGGTATCATTGGCGAAACAGTATACTCTGTTATGTCCATGATACTGCTCATGTTTATAGGCGACGGTTACCACTTTCCACCAGATGGACCGTCAGCTTGTTTGCAATTTTAAATTGTATAAAAAAAAACTCATTTCTCAGGAAAAGTTATAGACCCCAGCGCATGGCGTGAAGAGGAACATCGTGGTGATTTTAGCCAGTAGGAATCTGGCTGTACTCATACGCCTCCTCCGGGGCCATATATATATATATATATATATATGTACTATATTTTAAACTATTTATTGTTAAATGTATACAAGTTCATAATATCATGTTTTATAATCGAGTTGTATTTTCTTAATACAACTCAAATAGCAAACAACCTAACGGTCCACCTGATTGTGGTAACTGTCGCTTATAAACATGAACTGCGTCAAGGACGTCACAGAATAAATACACTGTGACACCCATGGTGGGTCTCACACGGTATCATTCCCGAGGACTAAATTGTTTATATTTATACATGTCTATATTTATTTGGCATGCATGTGTATTTTAAACGATATTTCTGCTTACAAATTTGCTTTTTTTGTACACCTATTAATTCTTGGTGCCTCATCGAATCAACCAATCGTATTAAAATTTTCCATAGAAGTGCTATTTTGGATTGAGAAGAACATAAGCTGAATAAACATCGATCAATATATCACGATCACAAAGACGAAGTCAGGGGTAAAAACTAGCTTATCATAAATGTAGATAATACTTTATAAGCGTAATATACCAGTTATTACTTATCAGTGTTATGGTCGTGAGTTCTGTGATGGTGTGTTTATTAACGGACTATTTTGTAGAACAAGGAAATTCATTCATAAATAACAGTTGTCACGCCAAATATTTACATTATCAACTTGATATAATTTATCAAGTAAAAAATTAAGGGTCCATAAGACCGTTGAAAGAGCAAACATATAGGTGCGGCTGACGTTTAAATTAAAGAAAAAAAAATATCGATCATTTGTAAATAAACTCGCGCGCAGAGGGCTCCGTATCTAATTATAACTTTGTGCTACGTAATTAATCACTATATTGTAATAAATTATAACTTTAAGTAATTGATTACTATAAATATAAGTCAAATTAATAAACTCAATTCTTACAGAATTTTAGATCTTATGCAGTTAGATACAAGAAGTATAGAAAAAGACGCGCCTATTTTTACGCGTATTTTTCGCATCATTTAAATTATACGAGTAGATTTAAATATTCTGCAAGAATACTGTACAAAAACGCCAACAGAAGCTCTTTGTTTGTTGCTTCTTGCCAAATATGTTCCTTTTATATTAATTTTAATACTACACAAATGTTTGAACGAATAATATTTTACAATAAGCATAATTTTAATCTATTTGTTTATGACGTAAACTGAAATGTAGATCTATCATCATCATTACAGCCATTATTACGTACATTGCTGAACATAAACCTCCCCCATAAACTGCCATAAAGGACGGTCCTGAGCCACCTGCATCCACTGATTCCCTGCAATGCATTTCAAGTCGTCACTCCATCCAGTGGGGGATCGTCCTACACTGCGTTTGCCCATACGGGGTCGCCACTTTAGAACCTTTTTTCTTAATCGGTAATCAGTTCTTCGAGCTATGTGACCAGCTCATTGCCACTTCAGCTTGCTTATCCTTTAAACTATATCGGTTACGTTGGTTCTTTTGCGGATATCTTTATTTTGGATTCTATCACGCAAAGAGACTCCGAGCATAGCCCTCTCCATAGCCCGCCGAGTAATTTGAAGCTTTAGTTAGTTTTATGAATGGTGAATAATATTGGATACATATTATATTAACAGTAGTATAATACTAGAAAGCGCGGCTTATATAAGAAAGAAACTTTATTCTGCAGAAATATGTGACTACACCCACACAGGGGTTTGAACAAATATTAAGAATTATAACAACGAAAGTGACCGCAATAGCTCACCTCTTTCCACGTTTAGTTCAAATACGTACGACATATAGTTGGACATGTCGAATTTTGTTCACCACTACGGTGGCAGTCCCCAAATACCATTAAATACCACGTGTTAGAATCATAGTCGTGAGCATATTTATTGTTTTATTTTATAGATAGCAGCATTAATATTATTAAAGTAGAAACACATCACGTTTCTGTAGCTGACAGCTTCTGGAAAAATAACTGTAATAGACAGCCAACTTAGCAGTAATAAAATCCTATATTGCGATGTACAGGAGTTTGTTTTTTCTTAATTTCAATTACGGAATCCTAAACAGCAAGGTCCTATGAAATTACTATATCTAATTTGAATTTAAACTTTATCAGCAACGTCCACATCCTGTTAAAGGTTACCGATTGTTGCTGAATTAGCTTTAATTTTATATTTTTATCAGTGCATCCGGTGTTTATTTATTAATCACGCTGATTAATGAGTTGAATTAGTCAAATTGATTACACAGAATTGTCTCAGTGGCGCAATGCTAACTTTAATATACAACAATAAGGAAAATTGTCATTAACTCATTAGAGTTTCCAACTGTGTGTCTGTAGCTCGATTAGATAGAAGGATATGTTACATACGTCTTGAAGTAGAAGTCGCTTCAATTGTGATAAATATTTGAATTTAGAACTAGGAGTCGTGTTTTTATTGCTTCTTAAACAAAAAATCACATTTTACAATCATCATATAATTAATATTGAACATCAGAAGAAAACCTTTCCTAACCCGTAAGGCACTTACGCGTCTTACACTTATTCTAAATTTCGTCTACCTTCATTCGTACGTATGTACCTTTATAGGATAATCATAATTAAATTTCATTACATTTGATCTCATTACGGTCTGTATACCCACTTAAATGATCTAATCACTTGTGTCATGTGACTTTTCCGATTATCTCTTTGCTGTCACCTAAATAAACATATTATTGTACATAGTCCTCGTTAGATATTTGTTGGATATGTATCTTTGATAAGGACAGATAACGCAGATGATGGCTTAATCTTGCGTTTTAACGAATTTTTTATTCTAGATTACCAGTTTACTTATCAAAATAAAATGAAACATAAAAAATATATGTATAGACCTTGTTACCATACTAATACGTTATATAATGAAATGAAAATTGATTTTAAAGAGGAAAATACTAGCTTTGCCAAGTTCTAAGTATGTTGGTTGCTTAATTGTAAATGTGTCAGTATTGACACCAGTGACAGCTGTCATTCAGATAAATGATCGTAGTTGTTTGCGCAAATAACAGTTAGATAAGCAATGATTATTATATATTTTAATTTGAGGTATATGTGTACATATCAACCATCCCTACTTAGATTATGCGCGCGTACTTGTGGGAATATCCGTTATCATTTATTTGTTATTTCAATGATTAAAAAATTACTATTGAATGTTTATTGATGAAAAATCTAATGCAAATACACATAATAGCAAATACGAAAACAAAACGTACGACGTATAGCTAAACGATGGCCCCACCTACTTCCGGTATGAGAATGCTCGATACAAATCTATTCAATATTCACCGTTGATCAATTGCGTAAAACTGACCCGTGAGAAGTAGGCGATTGATTATAAAACATTGTTAACTTTATATTGATGCGTTTAGTCATCGATGTTATCAGTAAGTAGATTCGTTATCGTTCTTTTAGAAATTCAACAGTTTTTAATATTAGACTACTTGTTGTTACAGGAGAGCATGTGATGCCGGCCTTTGACGCCCGGCGCCATGCCCACGCCGCTGCAGCCCGGCGGCCCCGCTAGCGGCCCGCCCCCGGAGCGCAAGCGGCGCCGCAAGCGCGACGATCCACAGAGTTCAGCCGCGCTCGAGCCTGACGACGACGACGGCGACATGAGCCCCGAGGAGGAACCGCGCAATGTACCTGCGGCACCGGCGGCACCCACGCCGGCTCCTTCCTCCGCTCCCGCGCCTACCTCACCTCCCGCCGCACCTGACGCTGTAGACCTAACCTCGCGTCGAGACTCTCCTCCCCTATCCTCCGACGTCGAGCGGTTCGACGGCAAAATCGTCTACAATCCGGACGGATCGGCCTACATCATCGAGGAGACTGAACTATCTGAGGGCGAGACCAGTATACCAGACTTGCCTAAAATAGAGCCTGGGTGCATCGTTGATAGCCGTGACAGCAATATTGTCGAAAAGCAACTCGAGTTCCCCCAAATTGCGAGCGCATTCTACGTATCAAGAAATCCGTCTTTATACGGCGCGCTATATGGAAGACTGGCAGCTGAAAGAGCTCGGGCGAGGCCCGATGCACCTGTGATGCATAGTTATCGAGTATTTAGTTTTCGTGGAGGAAAGGACACACCGAGGCCGCCATCTCCGCCTGCTGAATGTCCTGTCAGCGTACCTGTTAAACCGATCCTTATGTGTTTTATATGTAAATTGAGTTTTGGCTACGCTAAATCTTTTGTGGCACATGCACAAACGGACCATAGTTTATCGTTACTTGATTCTGAAAGAGACGCCTTATCAAGAGAGAATGCTTCTGCAATTATTCAATGCGTGGGAAAAGATAAAGAACCACTAGTCTCATTTTTAGAACCTGTAGGTGCAGCAGCGCCCCCAAGAGTTTCTGCATCTGGAAGCCCTGCCAACGTATCAGAACTGTCAAGTCCATCCATAGAGAAACGGCCGGACATGATGATGACTCCAGATAGAGATAATGACTCGATGTTGCCTAACGGCACCTGTGACGATAGAAGACCAAGTCCAACAACGTGGAGACCGCCTAGATCCATTGCTGAGTCTTTGGTCCCACAACATTCCTTGATCTCTGTGGCGCATCCCCATACGATAAATGCGTCTGTACAACAACGTGTAAGTCCGAATTCTTCCCCACCGTTTCAAGCAACACCACCAGCTTTCCTTTCTGGAACAACAATAGGAGTTTGCCCTGATCATTTAGGCGGGCGACCATCAGGTGCTGACTGCCCGAAATGTGAATTGATTTTGAATTCAGGAAGATTAGGAGGACCCCTGGCTGGCATGCATAGTAGAAATTCCTGTAAAACTCTTAAATGTCCTAAATGTAATTGGCATTACAAATATCAAGAAACCTTAGAAATACATATGAAAGAGAAACATCCTGAAGCTGAAACAAGTTGTATCTACTGTATAGCTGGCCAGCCACACCCACGGCTTGCTCGTGGTGAAACATATACATGTGGATATAAACCATATCGATGTGAAGTATGTAATTACTCTACTACTACAAAAGGTAACCTTAGTATACATATGCAATCAGATAAGCACTTAAACAACATGCAAGAATTACAAAATGGTGGCAATCCTGGAGAAGGAAGTCTACCTCCTGCCCCTCAACATACTCCTCCGGGTGTTCATAAACCACCACTTCCACATCATTCGCCTTTAGGTCAAAAGCCAAAGCCTACATTCCGATGTGATGTTTGCAATTATGAGACAAACGTAGCGCGAAATCTCAGAATACATATGACATCAGAAAAGCATACCCATAATATGCTTGTTCTCCAACAAAATGTGAAGCATATGCAAACATTATCAGCTTTACACCATAGACAGCAAAGTCAGCAGCAACTAGAGAGTCTATTACATTTTCACAGCAATGATGCTCCCCCACCTAACCCAGAAGCAGCATTAGCAGACATGGCTTATAATCAAGCTCTTATGATTCAACTTATGACTGGGGGACCTGGACCTTCTCCTCCTGAATTAGGGGCCCACCTAGACGTTGGTTTAAACCCAGAAGCGATGGAACCACCTCCAGAACCCGCTGATCCGGAACCGGAGAGGACTTTTCATTGTTGTATATGCAACTGTTTCTCTACCGATTCGTTGGAAGCACTTGGACATCATTTAGCGCAAGATCGAACAAAAATAAGAGAACAAGAAATTTTGGCACTCGTCGCCGGCCATTACGTATGCAAATTATGCACCTATAAAACAAACTTAAAAGCCAATTTCCAATTACATTGTAAAACTGATAAGCACTTGCAAAGGTTGCAACATGTGAATCACGTGAAAGAAGGTGGGCCAAGAAATGAATGGAAACTCAAGTTTTGTGGTGGAGTTGGAACTGGAGGAGCTGGTGTCGGAGGTGTCCAAGTAAGGTGTTGTGCTTGTGATTACTATACAAACTCTGCACATAAATTACAACTACATGCAGCTGGAGCAAGGCATGAAGCCGCTGCCCTTCTGTTGAGACATCTTCGAGAATGTGCCTCTAGAATTCCTCGAGAACGGCCAAGAGTATATCGTTGTGCACTATGTGGCTTTGGTGCTCCCCATCGACTACCACTTTTACAGCATGTTCGCTCTGTAAAACATTTACAAATGGAACAAATTCATCAGCTCCAAAGACGATCTGAAGGCAAAGACCCGACACCTGACGTCGCTGAACTCTTCCAAGTCATCCCTCAGCCAACAGATTTACCGAGTCCTTTTGAACAACAAGAAAATGGTGAGTAATATTTAATGCATACTATCCTTAACTGTAAAAAAAAAATCTAACCCAATCACAAAAATGTCTTTTCTATCATTTAAACAATGTTTGTCTGTTCATGTTCACTAGAGTGGTAATAAGGAAATTGCTATTTGTTAGCTAATAATTCTTGAACCGTGACTGTAGGTACTATTGTTATTTTTCACCTACTTCCTCGAGACGTTGGGTAAATCTTAATTGTAATTAGCGTATTATCTAAGTAAATAATAGGTAGCATCAACAATGCGGAACGTATATACCTATATCAAACTACCATAGCCACGTTATAATGCAACAAAATAAATAACTCCTTGATTACTTATTGTCTATATGTAATTTCGATGTTTCACCAGATGTCGTTTTTTGTTTTATCCTCTTTTTTTTTGCAAAATAAATACTTATTATTTATTACCCTAGTGCGAAACACATTTCATAACATTTTATTCTATAAAGCGTAAAAATCCCATTAAAATTAATTCAACCAAAACCATTACCGTGGTTCGTATCGATAAAGTAATACAGAATCGACTTATGAATGTGATTTCGAAACGTCACTATCGATTTCCAATTTAAACCGATTCGTTCCTTAATCAATTTTATTCTGTGTTTTTTTACAAACAGAACTTCTTTCTGTGGATCATGATAACAAACTTACTATTAATTTTAAGTTAATTTTGTTCAAATAATATTAATATTTACACGTAAGTTTATCACATTTTCCGTTCGTCGTCGAAGGCTTAATTATCACCTTCCGCGCTACCATCACACCAAATGCAATCTAGAAGCAATCTCCATTTTGAGTGATGAGTATTTAGCGGAGAATTCGTAATCACAATAATGAGATAATTACACACGGACAAAATTTAATTTAAAGCGCGCAACATTAGAACAGGTTTCTTTAATAACGTACGCCTTACACGGTGTCGCCTGAGTCGGATGCCGTCATTGGTCGGAGACGGCTCCGCCCCACGAGCGAGGGAGACAGAATGAAGATTTGAATTGAGAACGCGAATTTTCCATAAGTACCGCACGCGGGACAATGACTCGTATTACGTATGTGGCCGTCGCGCATTAAGGATGATTGCCCCCTTGTGATGAGGCAGCTACATCATCGTACAATGTCGCTGCACCGGTCGCATCGCCCATCGCATGTTTATAGCCACAGTGAAATACGATAAACTTCCAGAGAAATGTGGAGGCGAAAGAAATCCGGCTTACGCCATTGTGCACCTCATGTTTATGCTTATTACTTATTTTCACCTTATTCAACGATTTGCTTAAAAATATTAAATACTGTTCGAATATTTTAGATGAGATTTAGGTTTATTTTGAAGTAAGAATTGGCACCTTATTAAAAAAAGACAGCTGTCAAAGTTTACTGATAAAAAAAAGTTGGGTTGTTGCATTCCGATATGCGGTGTTTTTAGTATCTGTCACAGTTTTTGCTACTTGTTTAATAATTCACTAGCTCAACTCATCCTCGCTTTTAATTCAACTTAAGTATAAAAGAAACAGGTTTGTAACTCAAGATCCACCTGAGTAATAGTGGTGCCGTCTGCCAAATACATAATCATTTTAAGTTATTGTCACCACTGTTAACATATTATTCATAATGATTAAAAGTTTAAGTAAAACAAGATTAGACCTCATTCATCAATTTATCAATACATAATTAAAATAAACGCATAATGCATTCAAAATATAAAATTAAGTATGTACTTATGAGATCACTAATAATTCATTCCTGTTCTTCAATATACCTGCATGTGCGATTTCATTAAAATCCTTTAATAATATAATCCATAATTTGATTATGAAATAATAAGTATACATATCGTAATATTTTTATCTACGGAGATTTTCAACAACGAAGATAAATTCTGATAAAATTTTAAAATAAACAAGTCGAACTATAGTCATAAAAGCTTAATTCTCTAAATATAACGTGCTCTTATAAAAGCCAACACCAGTCACTATGTGCTAAAGTTGAGACAGTAAAATATTCAAACTCCATTGTATTCCAGACGCCATGCTATAAAATCCTGGCCTAAATCTTGCAAAACAAAACTCACACTTAACAATACCTACTTTACGACACTATAACGATGTGGTGCTTCCTTAGAAAAGACCCTTTGTCCATTGACAAAAAGCGTCGAAGATCTTATTTGTGCGAGGTTCTTTTACCTGGCCATTGTTCTATATTACAGCAGACGGTGGGACGACGATTCTCCATAAATAATTACATTCACTGGTCAATCCAAAATTAGGGTCAGTTGCTTTATGATTATTATTATTTGTACGGATTTATTTATCCCCCTCCCTTTCATTAGATGTAACGGTTTTAACTGTTAAAACTATACAACGGGTTCCACACAGGGGCCAACTGGTTTCAAGTCTGCTGGACTGTGAGATAATTTCATGTTTTAATTAATTGACAAATCTACCCTTTCTTATTTGTATTTGCTTTTTGTTGATTTCAATCCACTTGTATAGATACACTTTCGTACTTTTGCAGTTTCGTAATCGGTACTTTCAGTTTTATTCACCACTTAATAAACTAGATGTAGATACTTTATACCTATCTCCAAGATAAAAATTAAACAAATAATATCTAATACAGTGGTTGTTATATACAAATTCAATGTTGTATAATAATTTTAATCTGTTTATATCTCTAAACATGTTACTGGAAATATAAATAATGAATTGTATATATTTTTCTCTAATTTTGTCCATTTTCATAATTGGCTCCATGAATGCAAACAAGAAGAGTAAGTCGGAACTGTATATGAGTAATACATAAACTTCGACAATGAAATCAATATAATTCGAAACAAAATATTCCGATTCTCTTAAACATTATACAGTGTTTCTAAGATATGAGTATAATATTATTGATTTCGTTAATATTTATGTTTTACTTTTATTTTAATTTTTAAAAGGTATAATTTAAAAATAAAAATATTTTCTTTTCTAGACAGGTCCTAGTTCTAGACTAGCTCCAATTTTGTCCATTTTCATAATTGACCCCATGGATACATCTCATTTTTAAACAATACGTTTTGAAAATAAAGGCATAATTATGTATTGTCTACATATAATTCTATTCTTAACAAAATCAAAATTGTATTAATCTGGCCAAATATATTTTGATTAGCTGTTAGAAAAACATTCAGTTTCTCAACATAATAAAATAAAATTGGTTGTAATTTCAAAAGTCTTTTGACTGGGTTTTCGTAGTCCAATATTGCCTACACATAACAATAGGTAGACCAACCGTCTGTTGCTCATCAAGATAATAAGGTATAATTGTAGCATTACATTAGCGAATCTGTGCGTTCCCCCAAATCGACTGTTTCTTTCACCTTCCTTATTTGAGCGTAAACAATGCGGGCCAGCGTCTTTCACACGCTGCCGCCGACTTATCCCTGGTCAAATAATAATTGCATTCACATATCAATATGTCTATCTCCCTCACACCTACAGTCACATACTGTCTCAAATGCATTTGATCCGATGCGAAACGAAATATTCGAAACCTTTTGTAATAATGAACAATGATTGTTTGCTCGTCCTGTATCTCCTTTGTGTGCAAAATTACAATATACTTGTTACGTTAACATTAATACAACTGCATATGTGTGCGTACGGGATGGATAGAGCCGATACCTTTGTCTTGTTGGAACGTCGCAAACAAAACGAGTCCTACTAATAATATAAAAGAGAAGAATTTTATTTTTAACTTCAATTCAGAAAAGTAACAAACGTTCGTACCGAACAATAGTGAGCTCATTTATAGAAATAATCTTTTTTGTAGATAAATCTCACGTAGACGTAACTTTACAATGTGTACAGCTTCGATCTATATCCATTCCAGTGTCTGTTGTCGTAGCGTGAGGTTTACCATTTGCGAAATTTATTTATTTGATTGTTTAATGTATTAGAAGTTTATATCATCTTTTTATTTTGTTGACAGATAACAAAGAGCAAATAGACCAGAAGCCTGAATTGACACCGGAACAGAAAATGATGAGATTTTTGCAGCAGCAACAGCAACAACAACAGCAACAGCAACAGCAGCAACAACAACAACCACAACAATCCCAACAACAAAGTTCGAGCGAAAGGGACGAAGAGCGCGAAACGCCAGGACCACATGCCTGCCCTTACTGTAACTTCAGTTGTGGTAGCGAGAGTCGCTTACATGCTCATGTTACTTCTATACACAGCGATACAGTTCGACATTTCATCTGTCCGCTTTGTCAAGATGCATTCAAGGAACGAACAGCCCTAGAAAGGCATGTAATGCAAATACACTCTGTAAATTCGGAGGGTTTGCAAAGACTATTATTACTTGTCGATCAAAGTCATTGGCTAAATGGTGGTGCTCAACCTCAAAGAGATGACACAAGACAAGGTGATGAAGAACGTGAGATCTCCTCGCCTCGTTCTGAAGGCAGCGCAGACGGTGAAACTGAGAGATGTTTAGCATGTAACCGCACATTTCGTAATGTTGATGAATTATGCCATCATCAAAACGAATCCGGCCATCTAGAACTGAAACAAACACCACAAGGTCCAGGTTATGTATGCTGGAAAAAAGGATGTAATCGATATTTTGATACAGCCCATGCACTACAAAATCATTTCAGAGAGGCACACGCTCGTAATTCTATTGCAAATATGTCAGTATCAGAGAAACATGTGTACAAATATCGCTGTAACCAGTGTAGTTTAGCATTTAAAACAATAGAAAAATTACAACTGCATTCACAATACCATGTAATACGTGATGCTACCAAATGTGTACTGTGTGGAAGAAGCTTCAGATCTGTGCTTGCTCTACAAAAACACGTAGAAACTTCGCATTCTGAACTATCTGAAGAAGAACTAAACGCTTTTAAACGTAGTTTAGCATCAAATCCTTTGTTACAATCTAACCAAGGTACAGCTTTAGATTCTGCAACTGCAGAGTTATTACGAAAAGAAGCTCTAAGAACTCCAGATGATGAATTAGCTGATTTAGAGGACAGAGATTCAAGTGCTACTGTTGCCGATGAATCAGGGCATAATGATGCTGAAAACTCGGACGACTCAATTATATACAAAGATCAACAATTTTTAGAAGACTATCTCAACTCACAAGCGATGGCCGAAGACTCTTATAATGATCCTAATAGAAAATACAAATGCCACAGATGCAAAGTAGCTTTTACGCGCCAATCTTATCTTACAGCACATAATAAAACACTTCTACATAGAAAAGGTGAAAAACTAACCTATCCAATGGAGAAATATCTTGATCCAAATAGACCATTTAAATGTGACGTATGTAAAGAATCCTTTACACAAAAGAATATCTTACTGGTTCACTATAACAGTGTAAGTCATTTGCACAAATTGAAGCGGGCTATGCAAGAACAACAGAACAATAACAACCCTCCCGTTTCACCTGGAGCGGGCTCCGCACCCTCTAACTTGACTCTCACACCCAAGAGTACATCGAGCGAAGAAGATGATCGCAAACGATATAAATGCAATATTTGCAAAGTCGCATATACACAAGGCAGCACGCTTGACATACACATGCGGTCTGTTCTACATCAAACGCGAGCCGGTAAGTTGCAGGAGCTCGCTGCTGCCGGACACGTAGATTTGACACGGCCTTTAGTTGAGCAACCAGATAGAAACGACCCCGCCAAAATTTTACAAGACGTATTGTCGCCGAAAAATACATCCCCTTCATCTACTAGCAGTGGGGGTCCGCGCTCCTCGCCCCCCGCGCGTCCAGGTACCCCACGTTCTCCGCGCGCAGGTAGCGCTTCGTGCGAACGTTGCCACGCGTCATTCCCTACTGGGGAGTTACTCGACGCACATCGCACAACCTTATGCCCGTTTAGCGATGTGCGTGCGCATTCGCCGCTAGGCGACGCGGAAGCAGCTGCAATTGACGAGATGGTCGCCAAGGGCAATCCGCCCAAACGAAACTCACAAATGTACAAACAATTATTAGAAACTTTTGGCTTCGATCTCGTCATGCAGTACAATGAAAATCAAAGACGGAAATTACAAGAAGAGCGGGAAATGGCGCGGGCGCCAAGTCCGCCTCCGCCACCACCTGAAGAAAAGCCCCCGGATGGTGAAACAAAATCAACGTGTCAACATTGTAATAAAGAGTTTTCTAGTGTGTTCGTGTTAAAGACTCATTGTGAAGAAGTGCATAAAGACAAAGTTCCTTTGGAATTTTTGGAGCAGTTTGCTGAACAGTTCAAATCGGAATACGAAAGGAAATCTGGAGCGCCAAATTCGCCGCGTGCTGCATCCCCAGCACCACAAGATGAAAGGTCGTCCTCACCACGGGGGGATGGCGCTGGAAACTTCAATGAGAACGGAAATGCATCTGGTGAAGCTCAAGCTGGTGCTCTATTGGCCGCCCAAGTACAGGAGATGCAAGCGGCATTAAACATGTTGCAACTGCAGCAGCAATTAGGCCAACTCCATCCAATGGTGGCACAAATGCTGTCTCTGGGATTGCCACTGGGTCTAAATGTGGGTGCGCTAGCGGCAATGAATCTTCAGCCACCGCTGGTGCCACTAATGCTGCCTCCGCCGCCCTTCGACGCGATGCCCTTCGCTCACGACGCGCAGATGAAACAACAACAGCTTCTGCAACAGCAACAACAGGTTAGTGTTTAGCTACTTATATGTAATTGGTAGCAATTAGCATTTATATATTGTTCACTTATTGGTCTAATTAATTATTTGAACAAAACATATAAACACTCCTCATTTCTTATTAGTGCCTTTAATATCATACTGGTCATTAGAGTAACATCTCATCTTTTACTACGATATGTGAGACAACATTAAGCATAAATTATAAAACGAAACAAAAAAAAAATATGTTGCACGACTATGATCCCTAATGAGGTAGTCAGAGTGACTTATCGACTACTGCTGTTGATGAACTTAACATTTGACATCTTTTCATTTGTACCTAACCTATACAATACTCAATAACCGAGTCTGTTTTGTATGTATGAATGTATAAGTATATTTGATTTGCATTATACAATATAGAGAATAGACAAGACATGTAATAAACGTACAGTTATAAGTACAGTAAGCCAGTCTTATTGCTGAAAGCGTCTCTTTAAGACACATGTGTATATATATATATATATATATATACACACATATACATATATATATATATATATATATATATATATATATATATATACACATACACACATATATATATATATATATATATATAGAGAGAGAGAGAGAGAGAGAGAGAGAGAGAGAGAGAGAGAAAGAGAAAGAAAAAGCATACCTACCTATATATTTATGTATATACAAGAAATATATATATACCTATATATAATATATATATTTATATCGTACACATATATGATATATAATCGAAGAGATTCTACGCAAATTAGTTAATTTACGACGTTTTTAAATCCCGTGCTTATTAAATTGTAAAAAGTATTGTTATCGAATTATGTGTTGTTGGCTAACAAATACAAATAATAAGTTCTTTACCTATTTTGATGTAGGTGGACTTTCTTTAATTTATAGTTAGTCAAATTGTAAATATGATTTTCATTTAATTTTAATTAGCCGGTATGTTTATACTTGATTCCGTCCAATTTTAAAATAAAAGCTATGACAACTGTTAGATGAATATTTAAATAACAATATTTACATTATCGAACTATATATTATCGAGTACCGAAGACATTCTTAAAGAATTTTGCTCATCATAACTCTTGAATAATTTGCGTTGGTTTTTCTTTATTAATTATTAATATACATTATATATTCTTTATTATATGCAATATGTATAAAGCCGTGAATATTTTACAGTTATTTACAAGACTTTTTCTCTGATCAGTTCAATACAGTAATATTATATAAAATATTATTAAAATATCTATTTTGGGTTGTTCCTTGTTACTTGGTTTGTTGTAAAAAAAAAACTAGTAAATTAATTCATAGCATACACCAGGTGTTGCAGTGTTATTGTCTAAAACATATATAAATAAATATATATAGAGTTGTCCCATGACCAATGACACTTTGTTATATGACTATAAAACTTATGCTTAATATTTACTAGGTTTATTTTCCCTTACATACCAATCATTTTGTACTGACTTTTCCTTGTCTCCTACATGCTTGTATAAATATTATGTTTATTCATCATATCATATATAAAGCGAAGCTTTGATTATTATTTTTGTCAGTTAAAACGGTTAAGTCAATCGCAACGAAGGATACCTACAAGATATTGTGTGATAAGAACGTAAGTTTAACGTTGGCTATCTGTTTACACAAGCAACAGAGGGTCTATTGTTGCACTTGGGGCCGAGTATTATTAACTTATTCTTATTTTTTTACTTACTTACAGACTAGTAAACAGCGACGGATAATATAACTATTTGCTACAAGACATTTCAAATAAACTTTATGTAATAAGCATATTAAAACTAATTGCTAGTGCTTGTACCCGTACAACCCGCCATATGTTTAATTTTAATCCGAACCATCTGGATAAGCAGTATGCTTCTACCGTGGTTTTCTGAAGACATTTTCGTCCACGTGCAATCAAAGTATGTAACCAACTCCCAGTGTACCCCAATACTGCTGTATTTCCGAATAGATAATATATTGAAACTTTCGACGGTTTAAGTCGTAAATTATTTTATTAGTCATTACTGCTATAAAATAAATGCGTGTGTTATACTTATATTTGAATATTATTAGTACAATAACACTAATTCTCAAGAGTGATAACACACGAAGGATTCCGTAATATGCAGAGTTATTTTGTTATATTTATGCTATTCATATTTACAGTCAATAATTTCAGTTTCTGTCAGGTAGTACGTCAACTTATTTGCCATTCAGAACCATATAAAAAAATAAATATTTATATGTGTTTATTTTGTTTGCAGGCAAATGCAGCCGGTCAGAAGAGAGCTCGCACACGTATCACCGATGAACAGTTGAAGATTTTGCGAGCACATTTTGATATAAACAATTCACCCAGTGATGAAGCCATCGCAAAAATGGCCAAACAATCCGGATTAGCAACCAAGGTAATCAAACACTGGTTCCGAAATACATTATTTAAGGAAAGGCAGCGGAACAAAGATTCTCCGTATAATTTCAACAATCCTCCATCCACTACTTTGAATCTTGAGGAATATGAAAAGACAGGTGAAGCTAAAGTAACACCACTGGATTCATCTGCTAGTTCTGATGAAGGTAAACCTCCGCCAGAGAAGAAACCAAAAACTGAAGACGTATCTTCTATTAATCAACAAGATGTAAAATCAGAACCAAATGATGAACCAACAATGGAGGAAAAGTATAACTCATATGATGACAGACATCAGGAAGACAAAAGCTTTATTTTTCCTCAAGCGCCATCTCAAAGTCCAGCCCCAAACTTAAGTTCTGATCATCAACAAAACATATCTCGACCACAAACTCCGACGCACTTGTCATTGAATTCTCTGATTCAGTCACAATTGGACTCAATACCAGCTACGAGTATACCACAACCACCTCATCCGTCGATGCTACCACCAAAGTTGAATCCTAATTTCACGTCCCCAAACTCCGCGCCCCCGAACGTCCTACCTTTGACCCCAAATCGCAGCCTCAGTCCTGGCAGGGGACCGGCCGATTTCGGACTTTCCGGGGGCAACTCGAACGGATCCAACAGCTCGGGGTCTTCTGGCAAACGCGCCAACAGAACTAGATTCACTGACTACCAAATCAAAGTACTACAAGAATTTTTTGAGAACAATGCATATCCAAAAGATGATGATCTAGAATATCTTTCAAAACTATTAGGACTAAGTCCTAGAGTTATAGTGGTATGGTTTCAAAATGCTAGACAGAAGGCGAGAAAAGTTTACGAAAACCAACCAGCCGCTGAACCACCCGCAGGTGCAACGGATGATGCAAATAGATTTCAGCGAACCCCAGGTCTTAACTATCAGTGTAAAAAGTGCCAATTAGTGTTCCAACGATATTACGAGTTGATAAGACATCAAAAAACACATTGTTTTAAAGAGGAAGATGCTAAAAGATCTGCGCAAGCACAAGCTGCAGCAGCACAAGTAGCTGCCACATTAAGTAGTGAAGATTCAAATTCAAGCACTGTAGAACATCATGCACCACATGTGCCAGTTTCTCCTGCGCCGCCCCGAACACCAACACCAGCTGCGCCAAACTACCCAGTATCGCCGGCACCACCAACACCTCATACTCCAGTAACGCCTCTAGCACATCCTCCCCGTGAAGAAAAAGATGGAAATTTTCAATGTGATAAGTGCAACCTAGTCTTCCCTCGATTTGATTTATGGCGAGAACATCAATTGGTTCACATAATGAATCCAAATTTATTTCCAACTTATCCACCAGATTCCCCTTTTGGTATATTGCAACAACACGCCCAGTTGCAACAACTAAATGCGACTCTGGGAAGTGATGAGGGGAGACATCCTTTAGTTGCGGCGCTAAATCAGCAAGTAGCTAAGAGAAAATTTGACGAATTCGAAGAGGTGGATACCGGAGAGCAGCCAAAGGACAAGCGGTTAAGGACTACTATTTTACCTGAACAACTGGACTACCTCTACCAGAAATACCAAATTGAATCGAACCCTTCCCGTAAGATGCTTGAAAATATTGCACGAGAGGTTGGGCTAAAAAAAAGAGTGGTACAAGTATGGTTTCAAAATACACGAGCACGTGAGAGAAAGGGTCAGTTTCGTGCACATGCACAAGTTATCAATAAACGATGTCCCTTTTGTCCAGCTTTGTTCAAAGTTAAAAGTGCATTAGAGAGTCATTTAAGTACCAAACATGCAGATCAGTGTGCAAGAGGAGAAATTAACGTTGACGCTTTGCCAGATGAGGAATTAAGTACAGAGTCTACACCTAGTTTTGGCTCACAACAAAGTGACAGGCAGCAAAATTTTTCGCAAGCGGGGGCTCCCATGTTGCCCCCTATTTTTCCGCCTTTTCACTCAGACATGGAGAAATTTATCAAACAGTATAGTGAGGAGTCAATGAAACGATATGTAAATGAGTTACAAGCACATGCCGCTGCCCAACAAAATGGTGGTACCAACGAGACGAATGAAACATCTAGACATGGAAAATCAGAGATTCCCTTAGATCTCAGCAAACCTGTCGATCTATCACGACCAGGTTCTGATGCCGACGAGCGTTCAGACACTGCATCAGAAACAATGGAATTTTATGAAGAAGATGAACCAACATCGCCGGTGCCTGGCCAGCAGACACCGAGGCCGCCGGGCAAACGCTTCCGCACTCAAATGTCGTCCTTACAAGTAAAAATTATGAAGTCATTGTTCGGCGACTACAAAACTCCGACAATGGCTGAGTGCGAGGCGCTTGGTCGCGAGATTGGACTTCCTAAACGAGTGGTGCAAGTTTGGTTTCAAAACGCACGTGCCAAAGAAAAGAAGGCGCGGCTGGCTGCTGGACTTTCGGAAGTGTCAGACGCAGCACCTCCCGAGGAGTGTCGAGTGTGTGATTTCAAATATAGCCACAAGTACTCAGTGCAAGACCATGTGTTTACTCGTGGGCATATAGCCGCAGTGCGTGCTCGGTTGGAGAGTGGCGCGGGTGCAGGTGATGACAGCACGCTCGCCCTCATGCAGATGGCAGCGCGGCTCGAGAGTGGCATCGGCAGCGAACTGCACAGCGCCTTCCTAAGGCCCCAGCTCGCCGGCAACGGTGAGTGCACCACTTGACCAAGATCAGCGTCGCCTACCACCCTCGAGCGGTACGCGACTCTGGATTCGTTTTATGTAGAACCTCGCAGTGATGAGTTTCGCTCGATGATATACTCAACTTCGCCTACTGACGACAACAAAAGAATTACACATTAATCGAGCTAAGCTCATTTCGTGTCTTGACGGTCGTTGCTGTTTTCCTACTAGTGAGTCCTGTGTAAATATCGCTTAGATGTAAAGTTAAGTAGATTATAAAATCACTTGTGTGTGTTGGTATTTCAGTCGAATTATTGCTTTAATCATACAGATTGTTCCTTTATTAACGATTAATGACAATCTGTCTAGAGAACATAATAGAAATAATGTCTTCTGATAAATATGCGTCAAGTCGGCCGGTCTGATGCGAAAGCTAATAGCAGCACGTACAGCGCCGATTCAATCTCAGAAATTATTTTGTAATTCAAATAATTACTAAGTACCTATATAGCTCGAAGCGTGGCAAGCGACCGAAACAGTAAAAAACATTTCTCAATCTTCAAGTAATAATATAACTTTGAAATTAGTGTGAAATAGATTATTTTTTCTTCGATACGCGTGCTGTTTTCGTTCATTAGATCTGTGGCTAAGTGAAGTTTAAGTTGCGTTATGGGTGGCGGGTACAGCGCCGGTGTGCTGTTGTCATCACAGCCGCGAGAGGCGGATCGCCGCGCCGCGGGCTGGTGGGCGGCTGTCTCTAACCCGCCACCATTCAAATGCAAACGAAATACAACAATGGTAGGAGTTAGGACGCGTGAAGGACGTCGCATATCAAATGGGACCGATCTGGTGCACATACATTTCGCTCCACATGAATAATTAATTATTTAAATGATGTCAATTAGAAGACTTTCTCGGAAATTGTTTGTCAATGTCTATTGTCTCTTGTTTCCGTTATTTCCCAGTGTAGGAACTGAAAGCCAACACCGCACAGCGTTATAGACTAGTAATCTGTTGCATAATATTATTCTTCCTAGTTGTTCATATTTAAATCTCCTATTAGGTATTAGATACTTGTCGATTGTTATAGGTATATAATGAAACCAAATTATATATTTTAGAGAATTTAAAATATTAGTTATTATGTAAAGTCATAGCCAAGCCTGGTCGAATATAGACTATTTAAATAAGGTGCCTTTTAGGATCCGAGTGCTTTGTAAATTATTATCTCTGAACTCCACTGTAAATAGTTAAGAGTGTACAAGTATACTATTAGATGTAGGTAAAATATTGAGCTGTTTAATGTTTACATTTTAGTTTACAGTTTACAACAGCTCTAATCGTCAATTTACTTCGCGAGATATCTTACATAGGTAATATAAATATAAGTAAATATATTGTTTGTTTCGTAGAGGCATCTTAAGAACTTGTGATATAACTGTATATCTAATTATTTAGTTTACTTCTATGAAAAAGCGTTAGTTCGCGGCTGATGTAAAGAGCGACAAGGACAAAAGTACATACAGACATAACAATAGTTTGTCGTGTTTTACATAATAATAAGAACTTTTTTATGTCGAGTCTGTCTCCGATTGCAGTTTTTGCTATTCTTTCATCGTATTTACATAAGAGTGGCACTCAATTGGGGAGTTAGGCGATATGCAAATATTTTCTCCAAATTTGAATATTTCGTATACGCTCGTGCGACTTCTTCTGTATATACTGCACGCAACTTGCGCACGCGCCGCGGGTTGCCATTAATTTATTTATTATTTAAAATTTTTTACCTCGCCCTAGCACCTTCATACCTTACAATTGATCTTTAAAATTCAAATATACCATACCATATAAAGCAATGTTATTTACTCGATATTTATACACAAAAAATATATTTTGATATAGCATGCCATTTGCATATCGCTTGTTATTTTGTTTTGTTATGTATGTGTTTATTTTTGTTCTTTAATTTTATTATCACAATTTTGTTTTATTTTCATGTAGATATATGCATTGATGTCAAATACAACTGCTATACATTCGATATTTTGACTTTGCCTCAAATACGACTTCCAATAATTTTATTTTAATTTGTATAATTTAATTTTATAGTAATTACGTGCGATCTGCATTTAATGTTATTCAAATGACTTTTATAAATATAGTTGTTTGAGCAAAGTCCAGTGCCAGCCAGGGAAAATTTCTTTGGTATTTTAAGACGATTTTGTCTAAAAAATTATTGAATGCCTTGTAAACTGATAGTATTATTATAATTATTATCTACAGTTATTATATTTGCAGAATTCGTTGAAATAAATGCAATATTTATATTATTGATTTATGTTTCTTTTTCTTTTTTGTTTCCTTGGTTCCTTTATCCTTAGTTTTTTTTTATGTTTTATTTTGAAGTAAATTTGTATGTGATTGCAACAACAAGGCATATTGAAACAAAGTCATAAAGAAATACACAGTCTCCTGCTAAGTTGGGTAGAATGATTGAATTACTCAAGGGCAGGTGAGCATTGTAGATAGTGAATATTTTTAAGTGATTTTTACAATAGTTTTGTAAAATTACTCGTACCTGAACGAAACTAAAACAAAGGTATGCCATTTTGTATGGAGTCATTGGATGCTGAGTGTCTTAAGAGCAATGATAATAAAAACATCTCCAAAGTTAGCGTAAAAGGCTCACATTGTGGGAGGTCTTTTTTTTTCATTTTAAAACGCTTTGAAAGTTTAGACGATGTTCTGAAACTGAACATTTCTCATAAAGAAATAGGTGTTTAAAAGCTGCGCATTTCCTGTCAAATTGACTAAGGTAACTATCAGGTATGGGCTTAACATGTTTTTGTTATTTTTCAACTTATGTTTCTTTGTGCTAATGTTTAGTTTCAATGCTAAAACAGTCCGTTAAAAAAGATATTAAAGATTTCACTTTTACCCACCGTGTCATCCTGTCAGCCGTTAACTGTCCACTGCTGAATATAGGTCTCCCATGAAGCTCCTCCCAAGAGGACTTCGCCAGTCGTTGCCATGCTTGATAGACAGGTTGATAACCGCAGTTAAGCTTTGATGAAGTTTTAAGAGGCGCTAAAGATAGGCTGTCTATCCCTTGACCAATACGCTCCCTTACTCGCCTCTTATGACATCTGCGGGAAAGGAAGGAATGGTCCATTCTACGCCTGGATCACACAGCTATCATTTTTACCCACTTAGTGTAAAATGACAGATTGCTAGTTTTTATTTTTTTATTTTAATTTAATAAAGAAATATAGATCGTGATGGCACGCTGCGATGGTTTAAATATTGTATTTATAATAGTTATTAATGTTACATTATTAGTAAATGTGTGCCTACTTATTCAAATCGTCAAAAAGAGGATTTTACACCTAATGTGTTTTACAAAGATTTAAAATTTCGACGCAACTAGTAAGTATGTCGCCATCACAGTTGTGAATGCGTATACCTTCTCTATTGATTGTTAAAAGAATCATCACAATCCAATTGGCGAATATATGAATCGCTTAATTTTTAAATATTTAATTACTTTTTATTAATTAAATTACTTTTTTTTATTTAAATGTTTCTTTTTATTTAAAGGTTTTTTATATTTAATTTTTTTTTATTTAAATAATACTTGGGTAATCTGTAGTACTAATAGTGTAAAATCGAAAGTGGATTTATTTGTTTGTTAACTTTGTCCCCTTAATGGCTCATATCAACCAATCATAATAAAACATAACATACATATGTATTAATATTTTGTATGGAGAACTTTTCTATATAATGTATCTCGGTCACGCTGACGTAATCGCAGTTAAATAATTAGATACACTTAAATATTATACAATTATTCATTATCTCAATATTATTCATTCGCTGGTGATGTGCGGTCATACTGCATCCATCACCATCGACTACCTGTAGCATTTTTGTAGTCACGCAGAGCGTCGTGGGTCGACCCTCCTTACACAATTGGCAAAATTATCTTTTGTTAGCCACACCATCGCTACTGCAAGCTTATGATAGAACAAGACAGCAACATCAAATGTTTCGTGAAGTTTGAACTTATCTACATTAAATTTGTTCACTAAAATTTAAATTAATAGGTATTAGTTAATTCTACCATATTAAATATTGATTCCTCTGTTTGTTTTCTCATTAGGAAAAAATGGTGAACGAATTTTAAATTTAATAGGTACCTACACCGGTGGGTGTTTTATCAGAATCGGTCGAGCGAATCATCAGTAGGTAGTACTTGTACTAAATCACGTATCGCATCACATAGAACTTATCATTATTTCAATTACCATACGTGCTAGTATAAAATATATTTAGAAACATTCTTCAAAACAACACATTTAAACTGATATCGTACAGGAAATATTATTCTACCTATAACGTAAAAACTTAAAAAATACTTAACCGATTTTGATAATTCTTTCACCTATAGAAAACTACATTACCAAAGAGAAATTATTTTTAAAAATTTTAGAGATCTACCTATCTAGCAAAGATGGAACGAGTCGCTACTTTATACTTATGTTATAAAAAGGTCAGATTTGCTTGTCTGTTTATAATGGATAAACTCAACAAAACTACTCAATCAATTTTCAAAAATCACATATAAAAAGACATTATTAATATGTATTATTTTCTTTCAAAACTAAAATGCTAGTAAAAAACAATTAAAAGGTGTATAACTAAATAGGTAATAGGGGAGATCAATAAAAAAGAGAAACAAATTTTTATTTTGTAAAAATTTTAGAGATAATTTTACCTATCTATTTTGCAAAGATGGTGTGTTAAAATGATTATTAAAATCTCAACGTCAAATGATCCTTCTTTCTCAATTCTGTTGTATTATTTTTTTGTTTATTACCTTAAAACTCCGTCAGTTCTAAACCGATTTGGAAATTTCCAAATCACAAATTCCAAATAACAGATTGGTCGCATAGAAATTTTATTAAAATAGAATCAATGATTTAGTTTTTAAATCAAAGTAACTGATTTTATCACAATTAAAGA